AGAGCCTTCGATCTTACGAAGTGTGACGCTTCCAAGTCTAATTTCGCCCACGACTCAACCTCGTTAGTACGGCAGGACTTCATCTCTCCTTTCGCCAATCAGATATCATTCCTCTTCCCATCCAACAATCGCTTGCAAATGATGTAACAGAAAAGAAATTTTTGAAAAGTTGAATCAAAAACAAAATTTGCTGCCAACATTTTGACGACGGCATCAAAGGTCAGAGAGATCCACTGCTCCTGATCAAAAAATACATTGTGAAACCAATTATGCAACTGAAGATATTTTGTTCGGAAATTCAGTCAACATTGACTTGCCATTTCATTCAAAGCCCTCAAATTCCTCGTATACATGATATTGGTGTGTAAAACAAATCAATTTTATTATCAAGCAATTCTTTATGACAAGCACAGATATTTATTAAGCGATTCATTACTAACCCCTACTTGAGATGACAGTTATGAATATTGGAACACTAAATTGTAATGGTGACCTACATGCGACTAAAATTACTCATGGTAGTAATAAAGACAGTAATTTATCAACAGTAATACAATGAAGATAACTAATACGGTTTGAAGGCATAACAAGTGACGTTCTTTACGGTCGTCTGACAGAACAATTCAGTGTATGCGTAATATGACAAATCACCTTTGACACATAACACGTTCAGTTTTTCGTGCATTTTTTGGAATGTTCTTCTTTGAATCAGTCGACGAGATTCGACAATATCATTCGTTATACTCTGTAATTTCCTTTTATTCGTAATATTGCCGTATTTATTCTATGTTATTATTTGATTGAAATATTATCTCATAATGATTGTTAAATAGTCAAAGGATAGAAGAATGATTATGAAACCAACCTCGTTCATGATATTTCTAAGTTGTAAATTATTACATACAGCATCATTCTCATTGATCACATCACCGCGATTGCTATCGTTACCAGAATTGCCATCATGATTTGGTAACAATAGTAACTTCTTGGACGATCGCTTGCGTCGTGCTCTGTATACACATGGAATTACACATGTGTTGCAGCATTCGTTCCCTACTATCATTGGACGGGGCTGGAATTTTAGTTTTATGATTCTTATGATCATTTTGATGAGTATTATTTCTGATTGTGAATAAATTTTTATGATTGTAATCATTATCAGTGTTAATTTTCATTATGTCGTTGAATATATATAATCATATATAAATAAAGACACATGATATATAAATCGAGCGAAATAAGTACCATATTATAATCGAATGAAACATACCCTACAAACTGGCACTGGCATAGGCATTGGCGGACATGGTGGTGGGGGCAATGGAGGGGGCGGTGGGGGGCACGGGGGTGGTGGTGGACATATTCTGGGAGGACAGATCACTGGAGGAGGACACGGAGGGGGCAAAGGGAGACACACTTCACAAGGCGTACAACGACATGGTGTGCATCCACACTGGCCTTCGACTTCACCTATTATTATCACTACTACAAATGATAATATCAGCTGTAGTGCTGGCATATTCATCAACCTAAAACTTGGTTCATCTTTAATTGCATTGATCACCTATTCATTCCTTCATTGATCTCATTCATACGAGAGTTGTCGCAAACAGTCTTATTCACGACTATCTCAAGAATCTTTCTTTGTTGTAGCATCAATATCTTATCATAGGTTTAATCTGATTCGCGAACCGAATTCTCTATTTTTACCTAATACACATCACAAATTTGCTCATCATTTAGTCAATCTTATAGCATACACCATTCATTCATACAAACGCATCCTAATCCCAAATGTCTTGAATATGTTGAATCACGCCTTGTAACTCAAAACAGCTCGTACGTCTTCGTTTGTTGCTTCAATTCCTCTCAATCCTATAGAAATTTTATGCATCGTATTCATGAACACATTCGAATCTTATGTGTATTATTCTTATAAATGCTTATTCATCGCCTTTTCTATGATCCGTTGGTTCATCTTAAAGTTATCGTTACTGTACGTCGTCACGCCTCAATAATTCGGCATATTAACTATCATCAATACTAGAATGATTATTAGTATTATGATTATTGGTGTAATTTATCTAATTTCTGTCGATTTGTGTGTGTAATTCGAGAATGTTGATTACGGCTCCATCGAAAATTACGGCTCCAATGTTTTAATTGCATCCAAAAATGCAACACAAATGTTTTAATTCATACAGTTGCAATGAATTACGATCATCTGCAGCATATTAATTCCATAATAATGTCACTCTGATCACTGGACGGTTAATTAAGAAAATTGATAATTAAATTTTGACGCAAATGTAACGTGAATGATATTGATAGTAATGATAAGATTAATAAAAGTAATAACGATAACAATACCCGAAATATAAAACAACTTGATTGAATTTGGCTGGTTCAAAACTGTGTGGTTTAATTATGAATGAAATGCGGAGCAATTCGTTCGAAGAATAGGTTTAGTTGAGCAAATTACTTACAAGGCGATCTAACGTTCGAAAAGTGTTAAATTGACTGAATAACATCGATTTTGTCGAATATTTCGATGTATTTATAGGATTCCAATGAGTATCGAGAACAGAAAGTAACTTCTTTCTTTTCATCATTCCTCGGTTTAACTTATTTAACGAAATGTTTTTTGTTAATTCCATCGTCACATCAATCGCTCATAACTTTTGACAACCAACTGCACGATCACTTATTTTATAACTGATCATACTGAATCATCGTCTCAATGAGCCAGCCAAAAAACTGTTTGTTTGCTGAAACGCAATCATTGAAAGTGTTATATTATTGTTATGATTACTGTTATTATTATTATTATTATTATTAATTATTATTATTAATTATTATTATTATTAATATTATTAATAATATTATTGTATATTGATGACGCAACCATACAACAAATCAGTTGATTTTAAATCAATTGATTTTGAACACCCGGAGATGTAATTCAGTCGCTGGTTTGATGAATGCCATCGACAAAAATCTTTGTAATTTTTACTTCAGACCGCCATAAACCTGTTTGGCAATTGATATATTACACGAATTTTTCATCAAGCAATAATAGTATCGTTACAGTATCGCAGTAAATCGCATTTTTTGTGAATGAATTAAGAAAATTATTTTGAAATTCCATTAAAATCGTTCAGTACTCATCTTTTGAAGAGCTGTTTTCGTCTACCGAAGTTTTGATTACTTGCCACTTATTATCGCTGGTACTTCTTGATTATTGTTATTGCTATGACTAATATTTATTTTTTAATTATTGCTATCGTTATTATTATTTTTGTAATTATCATTATTATTATTGTTGTTATTATTGATGATATTATTATTATTATTATTATTATTGAAATTATCATGTTATGTTATCAAAATTGCGTTAACTCATTCTTGCTTTTATTAAAATAATTGCAGTAACAGTGCGACTGAAATATGTTCACGGTAAAAAGTGCTGTCAATAATGTAATCACGAAAACTCAACCTTAATCTCTGGTGTCTCAAATTCTCAACCTTTATCTCTGGTGTCTCAAAGTCTTTCTTTTTACATTACTTATTTTTTAGTGGTGAATGAATACGCACTCGAATTTTCAGTTGTCGAAAAATTACACTACTCACTTTGTGTCATTGTCAATCTGTCATTTTAAGATATTACTGAAATTTATTTTCATTATAATTGATGATATTGCTGCGAATTTTTTTGCCATACAAGCATGCACGAATATTTTATTTGTTTGTTCATTTAATCAACAATTACAACTTTTATCATCAGCATGACAAATATCAGTCAGTATATTCTTTCTTCCTTGAAATCGATATTAGCATAGGGAATCATCCGGCTTCATCAAAGTCCAACTTCGATCATTGATTTGGTGAACTGGAGATGTGAGACTGCTCCCGATATTGCCAGATCAATCCACTGATCATGTCTCCAACAATCGCTTAAAAACAGCCGACAGTACAAAGACAGTGATCTTCCGGGATCAATAATAAACAGCCGTTTTGATGAATTTAACCTAATAGTGATCGACGTATCAAATATTCCACAGCCGAACAATAATGAATGCCTATTGCCATAAACGCTTTGTGTAATTGAACACAGTCGAATTATCGGAATATATATTCCGGGAAATGTGCGAATTGGAGATGGTGACGGGGAGTTACGTCTGAGGGTGGTGATTGATATGGGGCATATATTAAAGAGTATAT